AAACTTCACTATATGAGATCATTACTATCAACGATAATTTTATAGAATGTTCTTGATATATTTATTTAACGTAACTGTATATCAAAGAATTTGAACTCTTAAAACCTCAGGATAAATCAATTAAACTTCCTCATCCAGTTAAACCAAACGGCCCTTGATTTTTTATACATTGTAGGTTTTCTTAAAAAAAAAAACATATACTGTACCTGTAGGTTACATAATGTACTTTGAGAAACTCTGATATTAATATAATTAATAAATATAAAATTAGAACATCTGAATTTTAGAAGATTAATCATAAAGCAATTTTCTTAAAATGCATAAATTAATTAGAAATAACTTATATTTAAAACCAAAATAAGTATTCGGTCTCACACAATCTTCACTCAAAACGTTTCCAATTTTAATTTCTCAATTAAGAAAAAAATGGTTTATTTGATCCCTTCATTGAAATACAAAGTTTGTTGCATGCAGGCGTGAGTGGGAATGGTTACTCATCCGCTCAACCGCCGGTTCAATATCAAAAGCATTGTAATAGACCATATAGTGCCAACCGGAGCAACGGTTCAGCCACATGGGTTCAAGTGGGTCCGAACCCATCTTACATCAACCGAGGCACCCAAACCATTCAAGGCGATGTGATTCAGCGAGGTACCTTCAATGGACGTGGCAAGGGAGCTAGGCTTTGTGGCCATTTCTCGGTCTCTGGTGATATTAACTAATTAAGTAACTTAATTAATTAATCCAATTTAATACCTAAGCTGTTTGGCAGTCATGAAGATATTTAATTAAATGAAATAAAAACTATGTAATAATTCATGAATCGGTCTGGAATTTCTGGAGTTATTGATTGAGCAGTGTACGTGTGTGGGTGATTGTACTGAATTTGTATAACTACTTAAAATATGAGTTTGTGTTGGCTATTGGCCTTGTTTTCTTTTCTTTTTTTTTCTTTTTTAAAATTCTGTTATATCGATAGCAAAAGACAAAAGTAAAATTATATCTAGATTTCATATAAAAAAATTAATTACTATAAAATTCATTAATAACAATTGTGTTGTCAATGATCTTAGTTCAATTATCAATAAATCTTATAATAATTAATTTTTTTATACAGAACTTGAATGTAATTCTCCTAAAGACAAATCTTTTTTGGGACATGGAAGGCAAAGGTTAAACCTTTTAGAAATGTATAAAAAATTCTAAAGAAAAAAAAAATATATATATATATATAAACTACCTTATTTCTTATGTTAACTTGTCAAAATCATAATAAATTATATAAAAATGAGTAGAAGATAAAAAAAAAAGTAAGGCATTAATAAAGCTTTAGAAGATAGAAGACACGACAGTTAGGGTAGACTTCCAACAAAATTATTAATCATTTTGTTTATAAAATATCCAATTCATTATAATCTTACGAACTGAATAATAGAATTAACAGAGCTATACACACCAACATGTTTAATTCCATCAGTGACAATAAAGATTAACGTTGAAAACAAATATTACAGTAAAACTTAAGGGACTAAAACAACATAACATAAAGACTAACAACAAAACATGCTAAACATTAAATATAGGATGCCAACAATTATATTTTGCCTAATGTAAATTATATATAGCAAAAACTTTAACAAGCACATATTATACAAATCAAGATAAGGGGCCAATATTTTCAAGCAAGCAAATGTGCATTTCAAAATCAACTTATAAAAACCATATATTTAAATTTAAGTAATAATCTTTGAACTTCATTATCACACTATTCTTAAGTAAAGTTATAATGTTTATATATCAAAGGCCCATTTGGTAGAATAAATATATTTTGATGAAAAGAACTGGAAGGAAAAGGAAAGAAAAAGTAATGATCATTGCTAACACACGTTTAGTATGCAAATGGAATAAAGACAATTTGATGGGTAAATTCATGTTTTTGTGTGAGGTATATAAAAATAGAATAAATGGTTATAAAAAAAATATTTTGTCACTATTTTTATTAATAGTTATATATTAAAATAATTATTATGCTCATAATCATTTTTATAAAAGTGGTCATTCTATTTTATAATTAATAAAAATTAGTTAAAATAATAATTTATTGTTGACTATAAACAAATTAATGAAATGGGTAATATAAATTTCAAACAAAAAAACTTACATTACTTCAATCCGATGAAGATTGCAAAGCACAGCAAGAAGAGATTAAACTAAATTGATTAAATTTGATAATCCTATTAAATTCATGATATGATATGGATCAACTAAAATTTTCCTAAAATTAATTTGAAACATGACTATATAGGCATCTCACTCTAGGCATTTTCCTAAAAAAGGACCAATTTTTCTTAGTGGGGGTGATGGGAGTCCAAGAAGCAAATTTGCACAATATCAAACCATATAATCTTTACATTCCTTCTTCTTTCCTTTAGATTCCTACCAACCAAACAAGCGCATTTGGTGTCCCATCTTTAACATGTTTGATTGATTGGAGAGATTTGCAGAGGGAAGGGAAGATTTTAATGAGTTTAATTTTTTTAAAAATGGACATGTAGGGTTTCAAAAGTTTAATGAGTTCACTCTCAAATCTCCATTTTTTAGAATCAAATTTATTAAAATATTCCCTTTCCTCCCTTTCCTTCCATTCCCCTCCAATCAAACAAAGAATAAGAACTAAGAAGGATTCCTGCAGGAGAGTGCACAATCTACTTTCTTATGCAACCAAATAGATCAATCAAAATTGCAAGTGTCAATATTGCAGCTATAAGGTTTCCTCAATAATGCTTCAGAATGCATGCTTAATTACTAGAAATCAATCAATGAAACTGTGAGTTAATTAAGGTTAGTTTTATGAAAATGCTTTGTCAAATTATTTTTTTCTTCCTTCCAAATCCAGCTTTCTTCTCATAGTCCAACCAGAACTTCCTTGCTTCTTCTACAACGTCAAATTCTTTGCTTAATTATTCTTAATATAAAATCTTTCTCCTTTTCATATGATATTGAACAATTACAACATTGACACTTGCAGGGTGCGAGGACAAGGATCGAATCCACATCCCCATTTCTCTTCAACCGGCCGTTTTCCTTAAACAAAACAAATAGATGTGAAATATTTTTCAAAATCAATGCAAAATAACATCTACTTACCTTAGTATCATTACTCTCTGAAACTATATGTGAGAGAGAGAGTAGAGAATTCAATTTATTAGTCTATTGATCCTCCGTCTCCATTCCAACTCGCATGAACTCATCTTTTACCATTAATCCCTAATTCCAATTAGTGCCAAACCCTAAAATTTTGAATATATTTTCTTCGATCGTCGACATTAGACAAAATTTAAATTTTATTTTTAATATAAGATGAAGTTAGAGAAATTAATATTTTTTCAATTTTACTCATTGTTTATTTATTTATTTTTGTTTGAATTCCTAAACAATAATTCATTATATTATTCATTAAATATTAATTACAAACAAAGACAAAATTGGAAAGTTACATATTTTTACAATTTTAAAATTATAACTAACATTTTTACTAAGTACGAAGTTTGTTAACTTTGCTTTTTATTAATGACTGGAGTCATATGACATTAAAGTATATCACATGTTATTACAAAAACTATCAATATACATCATAATTGTCAATGTTTCACATGTCCAGTGTTCAAATCGACATTGAGAGATAGGAAAATTACACTACAATTATTTTTTCAAGAGTTTCATATTTTAAAAACATCAAATGATTTCTTCTCCACCCCCCAATAATACTACTACGTACCAACATATTCTCTCTAGGAAAAGTTTATAGGATACATATACATGTGTTAATAAAACTAATTCAAACCCAGGATTATATGGAATAATATTATCTTATTTAAATCCATCGATGTTAAGAAAATTTTCCCTTCAAACAATATTTAAAATTACACCCAACAGAAGTTTAACAGATACAAAAGTTCATATAAAAACGCAACGTGACATAGCTTTGCCTGGATGCTCTAAATGATTAGAATTCCCCACATCCCATAACTTGAGAAAATAAATGTCTAGCTTTTTGACTTGTGATGACAACCCTACATCTATATATATATTACTTAGCTTCAAGTCTTGAAGAACTTGATGCCACCACTACATATAGCAAAACATTACCCATGTGCTTAGCAAGAAGAATCCTTCGCCAACTATACAATTTTCTCTACTTTAAGTCAATCCAATGAAGAGGTGGGGCAACACTACTACCTTTCACTCAAAACTCCCAATATATATATATATTTTTTTTGGTTAGGTTGTTGAAGTATGAGTGAATTTGAGTTGATGTAAGAAATATCACATAGAATAACCTTAAACTTAATAATTAATATATAATAAAGATAAAAAGACATATAAATATCACATCTTAACTTAAAATATTAAAATTCAAGTTTATGGTCATTTCTCTTTATTTTATATTAGTTATTAAGTGTAACTAATTTATCTGATGTGGCACTTTTCATGTTAGCTTAAATCCGCTCGTACTTTGATAACCTAACATTTTTCATAAATAAGCTATGTATACATGTTTTATGATGACATGCTAATAATAAAAATAAATTTTATATTTTATATTAATTAACTAAATAAATGTAGAACATATGCATGAGTGAAGAATGCTTCACCGTACATTTTCTTAAAAATTTATATATTGATTAGCCTAGCTAGTTAATTTTTTTTCCTATAATTGTGGAAAAGTCAAATGTTTCATATCTTATATCAGCATAATTGGATTTAACAGAAGAGACTGGCTATTTACAATATGATGACAAACTAATGTTCAAATTTTTATTGAAAAAGGTGCCTACTTATTTAGTTCTTGACCGTATCTCGGATAAGATTACTTCAATAATAGGACAATTGCTCAATCTAAAAATGAATTAAGGCATCTTCTATATTCTTTTTATTTCATCTATAAAAAGGGAGACATGTAACAAGTTGGTATGCTCACTCTCTCACAAACGTAACAAATCAAGCCTTTAATTTATAAGTTTTTCAGATTTTGACAAGTTCTATAGAACTTGATCGGTACTCTAAAGCTCATCATCAATGGCAGGCTTTGTTTATCATCTAACAGAACAGCTGCAACACTATGGTAGAGGTAACAATAGTAACATACATATGGAAGCACCGTATTATGGATATGGCTTCTGTGACAACCATGGCGTTCATGATCAAAATATTGAAGGTTTCACTTATCAATATGGTGTCTTGAATGGTGTAGGTAATGTATCATTCTTCTTCTCTCTCTCGGTCACACACACACACTCCCTAAGTCAAAATTGTCATTAAGGGATTTGATACAGTGAATAGTACAAATCCATACTTACTCAACAAGTATCTCACATGATAGGATAATAACTATTGTCAAAAATTTTGTCATATGATACTTAGAAAGCACTAAATGTCCAATTTATGGTGGGGATATCATACGTATGTGAGGAGCATTCTGATTATAAGGGTTGTTTTGGATTTATTTCAAGGAAAATATATCTTAATAATTTTCAAGTTTTGATAAAATTCAATAGCTATAATTAGAACATTAATTGAATGAGTGAATTTAAGCCACTCATTGGATCCCAATTTTTTTAAAGAGATATATTGTTTAAAAATATAAGAAAATTTGGTTTTTTAATTTTTATGAGGAGTGGTTAATGGTATTTTTTTTTCAAAAATTTCCTCAAGATTAATATTTGAAATTAATGAGATTTGGATATTTATTTGTGATTAGGTTAGCTTTTAAATAATAGTAGACATGCAAATAGTAGGTAGTTTTTAATAATGATGTTAATTGTTTTCTTGGGAGGTAGAAATTAGTTAGAATGTATTGTAATTTTGAACTGAAAATGAGAGAGAGAGGAGGGGGGGAGAGAGAGAGAGAGTTTGTGTGTGTGTGTGTGTGTTTATATTGTAAAGCTTCTATTCAATATATAGCAAAACATGGATTTTTTGGGTTAGTAATGGATTCTTTGTTGGTAAAGAAGTGTTGCGAATCACAACCACACAATTTATTTGGTTTTATGTTCTTGACAACGCAGAACAATATTATAAGTTAGCAATATTTCTAATAATTGCAAACCCTGTAATTATTGGAGATCAATTAGTTGTTCAAGTGTGTTAAAGTTGACTGTAATTGGAGTTATATATAGTAATTAATAAATTTGTCAAATATTTGACTTATTTTTACACATGCGTACAGTAGTAATGGAAGGGTTGAAATATATTATAAATATAAGGAGAGAATAATTAGGCATACCTAAACATAAGATTATTTTAAATTAATATCTTGGATGTACGTGCGTAAATCAAAATGGTTAAATGTGCGATTTATAAAATTGTATAGAGAACTATATGATATGTACTTTGACTCCTTAATCAAATTAAGAAATTGATTACAATTATTCCATGAATCGTTCGGTACACAAGTTCATTTTGTCAATAAAATTCTAAGTGATAATTCTTTTTCCTAATATTATTTTCGACAAAAAGGACCCTAAGTTCATTAATTATTGGGATTTTATTGAACTTTGAAATAATGTGCAGTAATTGCTAATATATATAATATAGTATTGTCATATTTTATAAATTCAGAAAGATAATCACAAAACCTTTGTCGTAATTTCATAGAAAGTTCAAAAAAATTATAGATAATTGAAGTATAAATTTGACACCTAATAATTGTTAGTACTATAATTGGTTAAAAAGTAGCTTATTATATTCTACGATGACTCAAGTTCAAATTGATCTCATTGTTATTGTATTGCGTGATGACTTCGTTAGCAAGTAATCTATAAGTATGTTTCTAAATACTCTTAAGTCATGGATTGTAGAAACTAATCCACCCAATCTTACATACAATTTAGTTGAATTCATGCAGGTCATTCTCAACCAGTTCAATGGCCAATGCATTGTCAAGGACCAAACGGTCTAATACATAGCCATAGTTCAAGTACATCAGTCCATGTGGGTTCAAACCCATATTACATCAATAGAGGCATCCAAACCATTCAAGGTGATGTGGTTCAGCATGGTACCTTCAATGGACGTGGCATGGGAGCGAGGGTTCGTGGACACTTCTCTGTATCTGGTGATATTAATTAATTAACTTAAACCAATTTAATACCTACTTAAATTGATTGAAAGTCATACGAGATGAAGACATAAAATAACATAAAATGAATTTAAAAAAAAAAAACAGCTATGCAAACATTAATGTATTAGTGGATTGGATTCTATAGAGTTGTTATCGTGATTGTGATTTTTTTTTTTGGTTTAATGAAATATTCCTTTGACATACAAGTCTGAAAGCATTTGGGGAGACTATTCATGTTTAGCTTTTGCTTTTGTTTTATTTTAATTTTCTTTTTACCAAAGTGATATAATTAACTTGCCTTTTCTATTAGAAGAAGAAATTGCAAGCATGTGTGTGTGTGATTGTACTGAATTTATATAATTAATTAACTATGAGTTTGCTGCTGATCGATTGTCTATGATTCGATTCTTTTAACACTGTTAGTTGTATAATTGTATTTTCTCTTTTATGTCGTTAATTAATTATAATTCTTTTTAATTCAATCTATATATTTAATTATGTAAAAATTTTGTTAAAACTAAATAAAAATCATAAATAATACGATTCATTCCTTAGACTTCATCCCACACAATAGAAATACTAAGTATAATCAAGTTGGGTTAATTGAATACATTAATTAATTTGGTGTGGATTTCTTATAAATAAAGAGAAATAAAGACGATAAATGTCCATGACAAATCCCACTAATTATTACCAATTAATTTGTATATTTCTATCCAGCTATTCAAATTCCAGCGCTAAAAGACATTCGAATTGTGATGAGAATATTGGAATCCTGTATTTACATATAAGAAAGTTAAAAAAATATAAGAATTAATTGGTAATATAAGAAGGTTTGAAAAAATATGTTCGAATTGATATGGAACATCTCTTTACTCCTGTGTTTTCATATGTTGTCAAAAATGAAGTTAATTGGATTTTTAGTGAGAGGAAAATTCAATAATAAAGATAGTAATTGGCAAGAGTTTTTTCACCCAAAAAAGAAAAAGATAGTAAGAGTCTATTATAGCAGCTATCCAATTGCAACTTATGAGAGTAGTTAATGAAACGATGTTTTTATTTTTTTTCTCTATCATCTTAATTTATAAGATATTTTTTAGTAAAATTATGTATATCAATAAAATTTATTAAATATAATTTATAATTTTATTTTTTAAAATAAAAATATAAATTTTTAAAATATTTTTCATTTAATATAATCTTATTCGTGAAACATTGAATGTAGAAATAGACAATACAACAAGAAAAGATGTGTAATATTAGAATAAGTATAATTAATAAAATTTTTTTTTTTTCAAAATACCTTATATCTTGGGACACCAAATTACCTTAAAAAATATATTATAAACTGATTTAGTTATTCATAAATATGAACGACTGTGAGGAATTTGTATATATTGGAGGGAAATTATAATAAAGGACTTGGAGAAAATAATATTCATTAGAAAGAATTTTAAAAATAGTAATTATTTAGAAGAACAAAATACTAAATAAAAAATTTATAAATATTATATTACTCCTAATCAAATCTGGTACATTTTTTCTTATCACATCTCACACATGTATTTGATAGTTACTAACAAAAACACATAATTTGAGAGAAAGCTATTTTCTTAAAATAATAAAGAGATGAAAAACAACAAATTAAGATAAAGCTAAATTATATTAATGCCCAGAAACCGCAACTAGATAATAATCATATCTCCCTTGAAAGTCCGTATGTAAGTCCAGAGATTGAGACAGGGTGTTGTGCTGACAAAATGTAATAATTCTTTAAAAGTAAATTTTTTATATTAAATTTCCTTAATTTTTTTAAAGTAAAGATTTTAAAATTGTAATGATTCAATTATTTAAAATTAAATATTTTAAAAAATTATATTATATTGATTTAATGAGGACTAATACTACTTTTTATTTTTGTGTGTGGAATTGAAAACTGCACAATTTTATTTTTGAAAGAGTACTCTTGTGCCTTGCACAGTATCACACATTAATTTTAAGATTATTATTGACAGATTATATTGTAATAAAGGTTATAAAAAATCATATTATAAAAAAAAGTTATAATAATCAATTACATTTGCCTGTATCTTTCATGTATCCTAATTTTAATTTTTATGATCCCTTGTAATGAATTTTAACAGCTTTAGATCCCACTATAACAAATCAACGAATTTCTCTAAAAAATTTCTCTCAAATTTTTATTTGAGAGAATTTCTCTCGAAAAGGCTCTCTTATGGAATTTCTCACATATTTTCTTTCAAAATAATTATCAGTGAAAAATTTTGAGAGAACTTGGAGAGAATGTGCCTGCATCTTGGAGGAAAATGTTTCTCTCGACAAATTTCATGAGAAAAGCTTGACAAAAATAAAATTTTGAAAGTAAAAATAATTAAAATAATATTATATGATCTTTCTTTTGAAAGAAATTTGATAATTTCTCATTGTGAATCCACCTCTTAATATGAATTTAAATCTTGCGTGAAGTATAAGGCAATAGCTTTGATTACTTTGCATTGATTCCTTGAACATGTATTTCAATTTCTCACTTTTCTAATTATATGATTCTTAATTCCTATTCTTATATAATGTCCTGATGTAAAACCTGTCTTCAATGCACTTCAGAAATGACAAGCATATATTGCCCCGAAATGCTTCACTCACATATGCCTTTATATTATTCTTTTTATGAGGTGTGGTTTAATTTATTCTAAAAAGTATAAGCTAAATTATCTATAAATAAATAAAATTTAAAAAATTCAGATTTAAATATGTTTTAAAGAGGTATTTTGTATCCTTATTTTTTCAAGACTTAGAATACACTTTATAAATGAAGTATTAGTTATTATCTTATACAAAAGAGTGCATATGAATTTATGTGGTTCATAGAATAATGGAGTTATTTATACAAAATTATAATATTTCATCCCTTATATAAAAAGAAATAAAAATATAATATTTCAATGTATTTTTTTAAGAAAACTTATTTTATTACATATTTATTTATGTTTATCTTTTATAATTAACTTATTATATCAATATCCACACATGTAAATACTGATTTTCTATTGTTAAGCATATTGAAGAGAAAGAAATAACTAGAATGAAATTGAATTATAATATTCATCAACCATGAGCAACAAAAGGGATCATCCCCAAACTATGGCGAGAAACAAATGAGGATTACACCACAATTTTCCTATTTACAAGCCTAAGGTTCAACCATATATTAGGTATAGACTAACAACTAATATCTCAACATCTATAGCCAAGAAATTGTTCACTTTAAGGTATGATTGGGAGTTTAATATGAAAATAGAATTGAACTGTCATTAATTAAATACGATGGAGTTAAATGAAATGGAATATTTCACTATTTGAAATATCACTAAAAAAAAGGCATGCAAGATCTCCTTTATTAAAGCGCTTATTAATGAAAACACTTTGTTTTTTGTGTATGTGAAATCAAAACCTACGAAAACACTTTTGGCAATGAGCACTACGTAGGTTTTACCTGCCGAAACGCTTAAAACCCGGAGCGCTCTAGCTAGTATAGGCGCATTGAAAAAAAAAAAAAGTTTTTTTAAAAAGATTCCGCCTGTAGCCTGTAGGAATGATTTCTCTTTAATGTTTTCAAGACGGAATCAAATATTAAATAAAAAAGATTAACAGTTTATAATTCATATAATCTAATTAAAGTGAATTAATGGTTGAACACATAACGTAATAATTAAATTAAAAAATTATATTTATATATAATAATTTAAATGTAAAAAATAAATATAAAATTATTACTTAACTTAAAAATAAAATTAAATATTTTAAGTTTATCATGATTTAACAAGTCATATGATGCAATATAATATTAAATGATTAAAAAAATTAATTATTTTTAAAAAAATAAAAAAGTGATATTTTTAACAGCTTAGTTTTTGAAAGTCAAATTTAGTTCTTGATTTAATCCTAATTTTCAATCTGATCGCCTGTCTAAAATGGCCTAATTCTCAAATGATTTTTTTGATGCTAACCAAGCTGAAATCTAAACCAGTCGGATATCTAAACAGTCCAATCATCTATTTGGATCTAGTTTATTTATAAACCTTTCCATCTTTAAGCCCTAAATCGGCAGCTCAGAAAATTAAAAAAAAATGAATTTATGATGACTACACAAATAACTTGAAAGTCTATCCTAAAATCATTCCTTTTTCTTTGAAAAATTCTCCTGAACAACAATACAAGTTTTTTCATCATTATTCCCCCATTTCATTTCATTCCATTTCTAAATTTCGTACAGTGGGACCCACAATACAGTTCTTATTTCTTTCTTATCCTCAAGTTCCTGCCTCTATAAAAGGGATCACTCTCCATGGCTTTTTTGGGCAACAGAAGGGAGAAAAAAAATCACTTCTTATAGCTCAAATTGAACTTGGTGTTTGCTTCTACATATATAATCATGATTCAAGAAGTGATCATCATCATCATCTGGTAATCCTTCTTCTAGTGCTAGGGTTAGCGGTTATATCACCATGAATAATAATAATGGTGGCTCTTATCAGCCTCAAATATCTCAGCCGCCCTATTATTATTCTAATGCTCCTTATGCTTCACCACCAACCATGGCGCCTGCACTAGGGCACTATAACAGTGGCTCTCAAACTATTGACGGCGGTGGAACGACTCAAACAGGTACCTTCAAGGGTCACGGCGTCGGAGCCACCGTGCTCGGTGGCTTCACTACCACAAGCTCTATTCAGTAGCCATGCTAAATAATTGCAATGCAACGCTTGAGAGGGTCCCACCACCACCAGCTGGAAAAGATCTCTTGATATAGTTTAAGGATGAAGTTATTAGATCCCTATATATATATATATATATATATCTACGTATGTGTGTGTAATATATAGTTACATGTTTTAAAATAATGTTTTGGTCCTGGTTTTGTCTGGATGAACATTAGGGTTTTGTTTATCTGGAAAGATCATTATTAGGACCTTATTAGGATTTGAAGGCAAGTAGAAATCATGAAAGAGTGGGTCCTACACCTACTTCTTATTTCGTATATCAGACTTGGTGGGACTGAAGCTTATGATATTAAATAAACTCAGCGTTGCTGATGAAGATTTGTATCGTGTGCAATATGGTTTATTAATAAAATAAAATCTTCAGTTATTACAAGCTTGTAACTATACAAATTAAGTACTTCGTCATTAATGAATTGTGAATGTGTGTGTGTGTGTGTGTGTGTAAAAAACCAGTTTGTTGAGTTGTGAATTGCGATTCGTGTAACAATGATCACGATCAGGTATAAGTCAGTATATGGTGCCTTTTTT